ACATATATTATGCAGAAAACTCAATTTTGGTCTGGAGGCCTTATACACGGTTTTTGCTAGAAAACCCCCCATATATATTATTAATTATTTTTAAGGCAAACTCACGTTACACCTCAAATCGGATTAAGTATAAATAGGAGGTAAAAATTCAAAAAATTTATTTTATTTTATTTTATTTTATTTTATTTTATTTTATTAATTTTATATGAGGAGGCTATTTCATAATTCTTATTAAATATAAAAACCTAAAACTATATTTGTTATTATTCATAAAAAATCAAACTGCAAATATACTTCTCAGTAATTTAACGAAATGCTTACTTTACAAGCGAATTTTCCTATAGATTCTTGGTTCAGCTTTTGCTCTCTTATATTGAACTTTATCTATCTATATAGAAGGGAATATAAACCTATTATAACACTTTCAAGAACCACCTCTATAATATAAACCAAAAATCGATGAAATAATTAATTCAATAGAGCCTGAAAAAATTATAAATCAAGTAAATTAATTAGTGGTCAAAGCACGCTGAGAATGTTGAACTGCGGAAAGATTTCAAATGTAATTTTTCGTTGAAGAAATGATTTTGATAACTGAAAACAGGAAAAATCCAAGCAGTGTTCTCAGGATAATGAAATATCAGAAACTTACCAACTATATAGTTCGATAAACGGGAAAAGATGGATAATTAAACAAAACTTGGAACCAAAAGAAAGGAAAGATTTAAAAAGTATTGATCGTTCAACGATTAAAAGAAATAGGAATTAAAAGGGAATCCAAAAAGGGTGCCAGTCCAAATGTTCTTCTACTAAGAGAAAGGAGAGGCAAACAAGAGAAAAGCTGTGGGACACTGTTATATAGAAAAATATAATAAAGAAAATTTATACCCAATCCAAAATCAAAAAAAAAAATCAACCTTTATAAAGAGGATCAAAAAAACTAAATCTGAAATAAGGACAAAAATAACGAAACAATATAATAATATAACAATAAAAACTTGGCAAATTCCAAAGAAGGGATACCCATAGATTTAATCGAAAGTAAATTAACAAAAGAAGTTTTCGATTAAAGAACGGAAAAATTTAAGGTGAAATAAAAATATAATATATAATGACCGTCGGGGAAGTAGCACTTTTTAAAAATTTTGCATTAGTAACAGACCATTTGGCTTAGGAAAAAATGCCCGTAATGATTTATATATATGGGACATATAAATGGGGCTTAAATCCTCAGTCCATTATAGAACAAGACACATTATAGAAATATCCATTCATTATAGGAGAGAGTGAACTGTATATAGAAATAACGATTTGCTTAATTTTTTCTTTTAATCAATATTCTTAGATTTAATGGCCATTTTTAGGTATTATTTCTAAACAAGGATACAAGGAACAAGAAGGCAAAAAATATTTTTATTTTTAATATTTTATTTGGTTAGAAATTGTCTACGTATAAGAGTACCAAGAAAAAGGTCACTTTCCTCAACCAGAAAAAAAGACATTCAGAATTGGAAAAAGGAGAAGTGAGAACGGAAGCAGCAACAAACCAAAGGTTAAAAGGAGGTATCGAGAAATAAAGGTAAAATGTATTATTTATATAGATTACATTAGTAGTTTATATGAAAGGTCAACACAATACTTTGGTCTAGGATGCACCCAAACGTTGTTGAATGGTAAAAACTGTTAACAAAGATGGACAATGACAAACTCAATTGACATGATTCAGCAAATTTGCGGTTCTAAGATTAATGGTGATATCTCTTTCGTTAGGTTTAATAATCTTTTGCTTTCATTTACCATTGACTTGGATAGTGTTATGAATCAAGATCTTAAATTTTTAATAAACATCCATGTTAATACACGGCTAATAAATTGGATTAAGGGCTTATGCAATGTTCAAAATTCTGAAGTCATATTTCCAGCCTATACTAATGAAATTTAAGAGATACAAGTCTGTCAAAAAGCTTTAAAATATCTGTATGTATTTTTAAATATATTATAATTTTAAAAAATATAGCAAGTATAATCAAATTGACATTTTAGGGATAAAAATGTCCAGGTGAAGGAAACGAATATGACTTCTGGCGGGTTTTAAAGAATGGAGGGATTATCGATCTTATCAGGAAATTTCTCTTTCAATTTTTGGCGGGTTCATCGAGACCAACAAATTCTGGTTTGATTAATAACTAAATCTGAAGGTGATCGAAGCAAGCTTAAAAGATATATGTGAAATTTCTACCAAGTAAACTGAGTGCCCATTTCTCAACACTTACAGATGACAAGTTCGTGCAAGAAATGGAAACCGTTCCACGTTATTAGCATAGATTTAGTTTTTATATTTAAATGATTTTTGCAGTTGGAATATATTTCTAATATATTTTATATAATAGAAATTACGATAATACTAGCAACATTTTGTTATATTGATCACATCTTACAGCAGCATGCCTGCAATTAATAACTAGAAAAATTTACTCCTCCATACTGCTGAACATTTTAAGAAAATAGTAGATGATATAAATGTCTGTATGGATGTGTTGAGTGATGGCTTTTTTGCACATGCATCAAACCTTGCAGAAGATTTTATATATAATACATCAATAGCAAAGAGGATAATTTTTGAATGTTTTAATTTTCATTTTACATTTGAAAGGTAATTATATATGACCAATATTTGTATATTTCGTAGGGTTTATTCAAGACATTGAAAAGGTCAAAGAAGTCCCAATATATTACAGAATTTGACTATCTATTATTATGAACCATTATCGCCACCAATTATTATCAAAATTTTCATTGTTATATTAAATTTCATAAATTAAATCTGATTTTGATTTATTTATTATTTTCACTTTTTTAACATGCAATATTAATAAAAATATATATATACTGACTGTGGTTTCAAAGGATCAACAATGTAAAAATAGTCCTTCAAATCTTTGTAATACAATGAAGTTTGTTAAAATTTCCTACTTTGTACTTTGGAATCAATGGATAAATAAACAATTATTAATAGCCTATAAATATTACCAGAATTGTTAATATATATATGAATAGCAAATACTAATGAATATAAAAGCATTCCATTTTTTGAAAGTAAGTTGTGGTTGTTAAACTTGGAAATAAAAAACTAAAAGATTGGTGAAACTGTGAGGGGAGGAGCTTCTTTAGATGAATGAATCAAAGGCAGATCCAGAAAATATATATTCAGAATTCGTCAACTTATGGATGAATTAAGACCTGAGTTCCTTCTACCTGCTCGATCATCCATGCCAACAACATTAGACGAAACGATTAACAGATTAAAGGCTGTTTCAAATGCCTTTGGTTGCTAGCCAAGTTTCAAAAGAAAGGTTTTCTGAGCTTTCAAGTTCTTTACAAGACGTGTTCTTGACGGCTCAGCTTATATCAAATCAATAAGTGCTAGCGGATATCTCAAAGAGAAAGCTTTATCAAATAAAAAGAACTTTCTACAACTGGATCACAATACACCTCTTTGTTAAAAAACATACCTTAATATGCTGGGTAGGCTTATTTTAAAAATATAAGAAATCATTTAATGAACAGTGGTCTTATATCAAAGAGTTCATGGTGTTGTAAAAAAAATGCCTTAATGAAAATCAAAAATGAATGGTAACTGACAAAAATATTGCTATCGTTGTAAAGAATTTTCTTGAAAATTATGATTACCAGGCACAGGGAGAAATATAAATCGATTAACTCAATCACTTGTATTTTACCAGCAGAAATGAGCTGTGAATCAGTTTACAGAGATTTTGAAGAAAGCACGTAGCAATTTGAAATTACAATTAAAGTATGATGCTTTTCGTAGTACATTATGATATCTTATGTGATACTTGTCATGTTCGCGAAATAAATAGTTCTCACGTGACTAATACCCTAATTTTGAAACTTTGGTCTTTGTGTAACAAATTTCAAAAAAACTTTTTTATTATGTCGCTGATTAATTTTTTGAGAGAGCGAATTTTAAACAAAACAATAGGTTACAAGGATCAAACTGAACAGGGTATTTATTAACAAATAGTTTTGGATATCATTAGATTATTTCTCAAGTCAAAACTTGTTATTATTTTCTTTTATTCAAGAAAAGTTTGCCAAGTACATTGAATTCGAGTTGTTTATAAACATAATGCCTCATTAGAGGACTACTTCCTCGAATATGTCTAATTAATTAGCTTTGACGACGTTGCATACTAAGTACCTCATCGACTTTGTCGATTTTTGTAGTCTCAATCGACTTTGCCGACCAATATAAATTAAATAACGCGTACGCCGAAATACAATGTGACAAAATATTAATATAAATATTAATAGAGTAATAAAGTAACAAATAATAAAGTAATAAATAATAAATAATAATAAATAAATAATACAATAAATGACTAAAAATAAACAAGATAATGTCAATAAGAGAGGTCAAGTAACGTTATTAATCTAAAGGCGTATTCTGTAATTCATCAAGAAACTTACATAATTTCAAAATTGAAATCAAACTATTGCAGCAAATAATAATAATTCTACAACTCGGAATCTTATTTGCCAGACTCAAAAAGGTGATACGGTGCAATTTTAATAATGGCCATACATTCATTCGATAAAATTCGAATTTCGAACTATATTTGTTTTTTCCATTTCCATTTCGATTTCGATTTCGATTTCGGAGCTCGGATTTCGATTTTAGTCGAAAGTTTTTAGGTTGATTCAAAATGTGAAGCAAAAGAAGTAAAATGACCCTTTAAATTTAATTCTATCCAAACACAACTCGAGCCACTCTTCTACCAATAATTCAACAAACAAGCGAGTTAAATAATCACAATTTTTAAAGCCAATAAGAGAAATAAAAATTCATGATTGCTTTTATTTTTATAAAATTGAAATATTATTTAACCGGTCAAAAGACCGGTTCCAAGATCACATTTAAAAAGCCGGTCTTTCGGTTCTGGCCGGTCTTTGAATTTAAAGCCGGGACCGAACCAGTACAACCCTAACTTTCAGCCAATGAAATCAAACATACCCATTTTCACCAGATAGTGGGTGCGGTACCCACCTGATCCCTGAAATTTCCTTCTTTGTGACATACATAATAATCGATATGCAGTATTCTTTGTAGTTCACGATAATAAGTAAATAAATATACTTGATTAAAACTTGTTATATAAATTTACAACCATTGAGAATTGAGAATTATGTATTAATTAAATTCATCACTTGCATTATATGAGGAAATCAGATTTGATTAAATTCATCTTTATATGGCTTCCTAATATGTGAGAATTAGAAAATAAATGCAATAACGTTAGTCTTTCATTGTTTTCTTTAAATTACTCAGATTACATAACGATTTGTTTTTTCTTGAGAAGCATTTTTGTGCGCTTATTATATATAATTGGATGAGAAGAGAAAGCAATAATAGAATTATAATAGGAAAAAGATAGCCCGAGTAAAAAAAATTATGTTTAAAATCAACGATTTAATAATGTTCTTGAAAATTTTTTTTTTGAGAAAATTGAAAAGAAAATATTATGTTTTTATTTCCTTGCTTTTTTTTTAATCGTGTTATTTTTTCTTTTCTTTTTTCTCCAAAAAAAAATTTTTTTAATCGGTTAATTTCGATTTGGTCGGTTCAGTTCGATTTATCCGGCATATTATTCTTTTTCGTGTAATTATTTAATTAATTTTTTATTTTGGAAATATTTAAAAAGCAAGCTTTACTAATTAATTACTAATATTTTTTATATAGTTATTTCTACGCTATTTACTCGAAAGGTAAGAATACCCATAATATATCTAATCAAAGTAATTATAACTTGATTCAATTTTTTTTTAAAAAAAATTCATCATTAAAACTTTCCTTCACTTTTCTATAAAGAATATCCCTGGTTCGAAACAAGTAATCGATCGTATTTTCGTTTATCATTTCAAAATTTCCCAGACTTGTAATCATTATGAAGTACACTCACTATTCACTTTAATATAAGCACACTTTTAAGCATCAAATTTGTTTTTTTTGTTCTTAGGGGTTATAAGGTTTATATGTGTATATATATATATGTTATATATTTTTATTAATGTTAAGAAATAAAATTATGATTTTTTTTTTGCATGAATTTAATTATTGGGTTCAGTCACGTATCAATTTTTTAAAGGGGGGTTTTTTTTGTGAAAATATTTTTTGTGGAGAATATTCCGGGGTGCTTATGTTTATTATTATTTTTATTGTGTTGTGCTTTACTGTAACATGCATGCATTATGCACTTTGCGTGATGCATGCATGATTAATAATTATTGCATGATCAACATTTAAAGTCAGTACATTTACGGGATTAAATGAACATCCAAATGTAGAAGTTATCCTTTTTTGAGTTGTTTGTAATCCATTCTGCCGGTCGCCAATGCAAAAAAACAAGGAATTTGTGAAAATAATAGTAATTGCCAAAAACAACACTCCATTCATCAATTCCTTCAGCTGATTCGATTCAACGAAGGTAATAGTCGTTTAAAAATTAATTTTAAGTTTTAAGCATTAGAAATTATTACACTTTTACTTGCGTGAGGGAAGTGTCTATACCACAAGCACCTACTCCAAGACAAGTTTATTTGCCATTTGTAATAGACGAATTGTCAAAGATGATTGACTGTTCAAGAAACATGCTAAACTAGTATCCATTCAGAGTTTAACATACTTTGTCTCTGATTCAGCATAATACAATAAAAAAATCCTTTTGTGAAGCCTTGAAACCATTTACGTCATAACTAATTCATATATACATTGTAATGGGTAAGCAAATACTGTTGTAATTTTACTAAATATAAATTTAATTAACAAACACTACTAATTGATTAATTATTATTCAAATAGAACCTATGGAACGTTAAATATGTCAAGTTGGTTAAATATTATTTTGTTAAATCACCAGCACGGTACGCAAAAGGTTTAGTGGAGTCCTTACACCAAGAAAAGCTCCACTTCCAATACAAACATGTTGCATATTGGAAAGATTTTCTTGTCTTCGAATTTTGGACATGAAACTCTTAATGAAGTTATATCTCTACTGAATTATCATCATGGTATATAATTTTTTGATAGACAAATTGGTGCAGGATCTTGATCTTTTTATTTTTTCAAACACAAATATGAGTCATTTTACATTACGTTGAACTTAACTTTCACTTATATATTAACTAGCCACTTTTTTTTTGCATCAGTGAATTAGAAGAAAGGAATTTAGGTCATTATTTTTTAATCCAGATTATTTTTTATCCAGTTATCATATTCCAAATCATCCTGGACAAAATTTTTTAGTGCATATCAAGTATTTAATCCTTCGTTCCTCCTTATAACAAATATATCAAGGAAAGATATCGTAACTATAGTAGAATTACTGAATTACAAGATCCAAGCGACGAATTGTTTCAAATGATATTGATTTAAATCAATATTGGTTAGGTATGTCACAATAGTTTCTAAAATTGCGTGGAACAATGCAAATTTCTCTTTTGGATAACGATCACCAAGACTTAAACTATCAGCTGTCGACTCATTAAAGAAATCAATTATAATAGTATATAATTACTTTTTTATGTTCAATTATGCAAAAGATGCAATAAAAAAATTCATTTGCATAATTTACCTGCATAGTTGATGTTTTATTTCTGCATAAAGTCATGTTCTTTTACATATCAAACAAAGAAATTTTAGGATTGTCGATTGTATAGTGCGTGTCGCAAAAACATTAACTTTAGAGAGTATGATTATAAGTCATGTGATTTAATATTTGTTGGAAAAAAATTTTATTGGCGAAGAATTTTGATAACATACACGTGACAAAATAAAATATGATTCTAGCATTATAATTTGGGCGGAATATCAGTTTATCCCAAATACCAACTAAAATTTAAGATAACTCGCACCATTTTAACCATTTTAAAACGTTATAGCTCGGGTTAAAACTCGATCGATCCAAAATGTCTTAAAGTAAGTAGTTCAATAGGTCTCATCAAGATCTATCAGTTTACATTGTTTATTGAAAGTTATACGAAAATTTGGTTCATGTCAATTTTAAGAAGACCAATTACACTAACTAATAATATGATTAGATTTTGATGATGTTGAACCGCTCTGCATATGATCATTACAGAAAGTTCAAATGTAATTTAAAATAACTTGTATTTGACACTTTAGAAGATATTCTTTAATTGGAAATTAGAATATGGTTTAATGCAAAACAAACCTTCTAGATAGAAGCTTGGATTGTTAATCAAAGATTAGTCATTATGACTCAACAAAAATCATTCTTCTTATTGTATCAATGAAAGTCTGTTGGATTTATTGCTGAGCTATTTAAACAGTCGGTAGACATTCAGTACTGTACTCTTTTGCATTCCAAAAGAGTACAGTACTGAATGTCTATATACTCCTATTTAAATAGCTTTAGCATTTCTCAAAGCTCACGAATTTCCCCTCTTTAAAAGTTTTTCATCTTGACTTTTTACAATTATGCGAATCAAAGTAGTCGAAGGCATATAAAATCTGCATAAATTAAAAGTTTCATCACCAAAATAAGGATTAATATTAGAGTAAAAACGTATTCAACTACTTTTCACGTTGTAATTTTCACGTAAAAATCAACGTCATGATGCTGAAGATGAACCTGATAGAAATGCAATAAAACAAAGATTCTATTGGTTACACGCATAGAAACCCATTTTTGGAAAATGGATCCAACGCCGTCTCTTTTGAGCTTCATTAACATTGTTTGCAATTATTTCTATGAAGATTCTATTATTATTTGCATTGTTATTTGCATTGTTATTTGCATTGTTATTTGCATTGTTATTTGCATATATTATTGATATGAATTGTTAAAATTAGTTTGGTACCTTAGTCCAATTTGGGAGATTATCAGGAACAGTATCAATAATTAATTCGTGGTTCACCGAAACTCGCTATCAAGTGACAAAAGTTGCATTTGTATTTTCATTGTGAAATCATGCAGCTTTGTGGATAGGATCTTGGCATTTTTCAAAAATGTAAAATAAATAATTTACTTTGGGCAACTGTGGATTCCGTGTAAAATATATATGAATTTTATGAAAAAAAAATAAAATAATAGAGTTGCAACATTCCAAAAAAATCGCGGCTGTATTTTTTATGAATAAATAAGGAATTTTATTATTTTAAATTCAAAAAAAAAATTTTTTTGCATGCTACAGAATGAAAAATGGTCCAATTTTGTTATAGCATTCATTACCTGTATGAAAAAAAATTGTAATTATTTTTTGGATAATTTGTTCCTCTTCCATCTTTTTTCAAGAATGCCGTTTTTAAAATTATGTTAATAAATATTTTGTTTATGGTATCAGGTCTGCCACTGAAATATACTCTGGACTTCTTCAATTTCTTTGAATATATTTTTTATATCAGGCTAATAGGGAAAAATAAATACAATACTGGTAATATCCAATGGCCAACAGAAGGTCAATGTGTTAGATCTTTACCTAACATGAGCGGATGGGGAAAAGTTTTCTCAAAAGCAGAAAATAACTAAACCCCATACACAAACTTTATATTCATGTAGCCTTTACATTATATATTTTTACTATTTAGGAAAGATGTTTTTCCATTTCGATGCAAAATTGGCAAATATAATACTGTTGTGCGTGAATTCATAACCAACTAAAAATAGAAACTGAAATAGTCTAAAAAAAGCAATAAGGGTATAAAATAAACAAGGAAAAAATAATGGCTGTATTCACAAATTTAATTTTGGCGGGCTTTATCCTGTGATTGGTTGATCCATAAAGAGATTAATTGGGATAATTTTATAATATGGGGCATACTGCAACAAAACCAGACAAAGTGAACATTGGTATTACAGTTTTATAATATTCCATTTGTTCTTTCTTAAGTTATATAGGACTATTCCTATACAAACTTACGGCGCCAATGTAAGTATTACTATTACACTTCTTACAGTTTTGACACGTGTAAAATTTTTTTATAATTTCTTGATATATTTAGAAAGGAAAACGAAGAAAAAATTCGATTAAATAAGGAATTAATTAAAATAGACAGAAAAGTACTACGTAAAAGTTGTAGAGAAAAGAATAATAATATACTCGTTAAATACCATTTACATCAGGAAAATTTTTGGGATGCAATTTTACGCAAATTTATTGTAAAATTTACAAGGTTGGAAAATTCAAATGTGCAAAAAAAAAGGAGTGAAAAGTTTGTATATTTAATTAATTTTTAAAAAAAGGTTATAATAAGGTGCATAAAAGTAAAAGGGAGAAGTAAGGATATTAAAACAGAATAGTGGATAAATAGAGATGTACAAATTTTGAAATTGTATTTTGATATCTTGATTAAGTATTAATATTAACAATTTTTTAAAATAAAGAATCCTCAAAATTTTATAGATTCATTTTTCATTTTTTACATTGTTATGCTCATCAAACTACCGATCATTGAATTCATTTATTTCATTTATCACTCTCTGGCCAAGTTTCTTTGGCATTGGATGGACATCAAGTATTGTGTCAAAAGACCGTTTTGGTTGTTTTTGTTTTTATCTGTTGTTTCCATCTTGCAACATTACTATTACTGTCCATGGGATCGTTCACAATCTTCATTGTTTGAAAGACTAGGAGCTAGAAAAGAAGTTAAGTAATCTTTCGAAAGAGGCTCAAGAGACTTATATAAATGGGATATTTACCTTGGCATATATTATCTCAATCAGTACGTCCAAAGATTTACTAAAGTTGTTCACATCCGCGTAGACCCCTAATAAATTTCTCCTTGTGTGTCGGCAGAAATACCCGGCCGGGCAGTCAAGACAAACCATCATCAACACTGCACCTTTTTAAAAAAATATTAGTAATTATTAAGTTGTGTCGAGAAGGTCCAGCAATACTAATCTAAATGAACGAAGCCAATTACATCCAGCTTTCTCATCTTTTGTTCTTCAAAATCAATCTTGGCGGCGAGATGAATTAAAATATCTTTTATAAACTCAGACTGGTCTCTTCCATAAACTTGGTGCCATGTGCACCCTCCCACTTTTGTCCAGCTTCTGACGCCACCCAACCAGTTGATGTCGAACCAAACGTCCTAACAAATGCATCCCCTTTTTTACCAATTGCTTTTCGTTGGGTCGGCCCTATATATTGCCAAGGTCCTGTATCTGTTTTTTCTTTCGGTACAGGTCAAACCAAAAATCAATTGCAATAAATAAAAATGGTTGTAATATAATGTATGTGAAAGGTTTAAAATTTTTTTTCTTTAAATTCGGAGAACGAAGATTTTTTGCCTAACCAATAATATAAGTGTACGGTCTATCAGAAAACGCTACATCAATCGTCCTCCAGTCATTGATATGGTACCAGGCTTCCGGCAAATCCAGAGCAGGGTTGACAAATTGACTGGCCCATTGAGAATGGATGGATTTTGGACTGGTCCATTGCCATTAATAAAATACTAAATATGGTTAAAGTGTTACACTAATGATCCAGAGTAAGTGGATTAGGTTGCATCTCAAGAAGTCGTACTAATCTATTGCAGGAGTTAAGGAACAACCTATCACACAAAAGTTTCTTTGCCATTTACCAATCAGCAACTTTAGTCTTCACATGATCGTAAGCAAAATCTGTTTGTGGGTTGTAATTCACTCCTGATCGGGGTTGCATTATATTCAATGCTTTTCGTATTTCCTTTGTAGAATTCTGTACAGACAATCTGTTAGTTTACAAATAATTTCCAAAATGCTCAGGGCACCCTAAAACACGTAACAATATTTGCATATTACATATGTGCATATATAACATAAGACAAGATTGATTTGTGAAAATGTTCGGATGATCTGATATAAAGTGATGGTTAGAGTTTGTGTAGTTGGCACTCATTCAACTTCCCAAAATTGCTTCAATGTGAACACAGGACAAGGTTGTTTGGTAAAAATGATGGGATGATCTAATAGATATGATATCAATCTAAGGTAAACTTACTTTGGCAAACGTGTTTATGTATTCAAAAAGCTTTTCGTCGATTTCCGGTCTACTTTGTCCGTTCTTTTTTTTCAACAATTTCAGATATCCTTTTTCCTGTGAATTCATCCTTAATAAAGGTATCCTCAATGTCGATGATAAAAGAATGAACCAGACTAAAAGGCAAAGTCAGCAATTCTTCCTTGAAAAAAAAAAAAAACGAATAGCATATCATAATGTAACGAATTTTTACTTATGGTATCGGCATTGTATTCCAAGCTTGTAAAGAACATCCTCAACAAATTTCCCTGACTTCAGTTTCCATTTCTTCGAGTTTTCCAATGCATCGAATCTAAATTTGGCAATAATTAATCACCATTTGTATGTAACACGGGAAATACGTAAATAAAAATAGGAATGAACTGAATACCTTTGTTCGAAAATATTCTTGCCTTTTACGCCAAACTCATTCTCATTGGTTATCGTGATCATTTGAAGACTTTGATTATGGATCATGACAATCAAACTTTATATCAAGCAAGATGAAAATAAACAAAGTTAGGACTTACCGAAAAAAGAAATCCATGAGATCGGTCTTCATCCACCACTTCAGATGAACCGAATTTTTATTCTGACGAATAAATTTGGTGTTCAGGTGTTTGTAGCTCAACCTCATTCTCACGTCGACATTTGTACGAACGAATATTTTCCATACCCTCACCATCTGCCAAATGCTTTCTGATATTTTTCAGAGCACTATTCGAGTTCAAGGCATAATCTAATTTTTTCTGGTCTAAGATTATATAAGCTTCATTCCCTACCAAAGTACGATCAACAGAAAACTGAAGCTGCAAACCGTGAAAAAAAAAGTGTAGTTATTGCTCTTGCGCAACTTGGAACTTATTATATACTGATCATTATATCAATTTTGGACACATACTTCAGCTTGCTTTATTTTCACTCCCAGTAATTTATTTTCTGACTCGATTTTTTTGAGTTCAACATCCTTCCAAAACTGTTTTACATCTTCTCCTTGTGCTTGATTCTACAAAAGTAGGAATAAATGGTTAAAACTATTACACCATAATCTGAAGGAGAGGCAAAGTGGATCATAAAGAACTGTGAATGGACGTAATAGTTCTTGGCACTGTGGCATAAAAGCCTCTAGCCTTCACACAGACTTAAGATAGAGCCCACCGAGAGATAATACTCCATTCCCAGCCCGGCACGTAGCAAGGCCACTTAGGTGGTTGTTTCTGGCATAATAGCCCAACTCTTCCTCTATTCTTTCACCATTTGCATCCTTTTCTTCATAAAAACAAAAAAATGGAAGCGAATGCATGCCTTTAGAGTTCCAGCACTGAGTAAGGAAGTTGCCTTCTTCCATTTTTCGTCTTTTGTATTTTCCGCGACCCATGACACGAATTTAGATATTGATTAATGCTCAGCCCATTTATCGAACGAAAAATCTGCGGAAATTTAAGATGGAAAGGAGGCAGAGATTTTTGGGATCCAAAGTCGTTTCCCAACCTTCAAACTGCAAGAAAATGTGGAAATCCAAGGGATCAAAAAAAATCTTATTATTATGTCTATTGAAAATTCACCTTGCCGATTTCAATGTTCATTTCAACGGTGAAAAAATATTTTCTGCAAAAACTACATACTAATACAAGCAGAAAAGTTGCATATACAAAAAAGAATCAGAATGCATCGAGATTTTAAAAATAATTTTGTTGCACAGCCCCATAAATGTCGTACAGAATACAGAAAAAGAGAAACATGGAATATCAAAGTCATTCCTCAAAATGTAATGGGACTTCTTGTGTTTACGACAAAGAAGATGAGAGGAGAACATCAAGAAAGTTAGAATGACTTTCAAAGAGATGTATATCGATATGGGCATTGATAAAATTACATTTAGTCATAGCACGTTTTTACACAAAAATCAAAAAAATGAGTGAACTCACAGACGCAGTAATATGGCACAGTAATGTCGATATAAATTCAAATATTATTTTATTAACTTGAATGACGAGTGGGTGATAACCATCATCATTCTTTTAAAAATAACACTTGTTTGTTTCTTGTTTCGCATTCTTTTATCTTCTTCCAATTTCATTTTTTTTCTTAAATGAATTTTTTTTTAATTGAATTCGATTATCTTAAAAAGCTGAATAAAAAACTATCCTTAGTATTAATATTAGATAATTAAACAATATAACAATCAGACATTCTTTTTTTCAATAATATCTTTTTTTTTTGTTAATATTAATTGGTATTAACATTAGATGATTAAACAATATAACAATAATCGTCGGTAAATATCTTTTTTTTTATTGGCAACAGTATAATGAAAATTCGAGAAACCTCTTGTTATTAATAATTTTGTTTTAAAAAACCTCTCAATTTAAAATTTTCTTTTTAATAATAAATGCGTTTATGGAAGAGAATGTAAATGGTGAAAATGTTTGTACGGTACTGCATGTAACAGGGTAGACAATGACGATTTCACCAAAGTAAACTCGGGGATATCATCCAAGCGATTAAATAAATGTAATAAATGTAATTATTTTACCTGTTGATTTTTAAATATTTATTACTCCAGTTATTTTTATGTTTATAAATATGATTTTAATTTATGTTAATTACTAAAATAAATGTCCAGAAAAATTTATATATCAATTTCCATCGCAGAATGCCTTTGCTCTCACTGAACACAACTCAACGTTCCTGCGTGTTATTTTGACATTAGATGATATGTTTGCACCAGAATAAATCTATGCGGGATGAGCAGAGCTCATTTTTTGCTTTGAAATGTCATAAAGATTAAATCTCTAGTGCCAAAATGGTCAGAAAGAAACATCTCTACTACCACATTGATATTAATAAAATGTCACGTGTCATTATACATATTAATATGTGAATAAATGAAAGCTCTCTCACATTGCGTTCTTATTTGTAAACCTGTTAATATTAATCATGGCAAAAGCAAAACAATTCATAAGTCGTTTTAGTGCCATACGTTACATCATTTTTAATGATGATCGCGCGCGTATTTTTCTTACTTTTGAAAATAAAATGTTTAATCCCGTTGATTCCAACTGCTCTGATTGTCAATTTATTTTTAATAGTGGCAATAAACGCAACTATTGGAGATTCACAAAGTCAGATATTAACAACATTTTGATCATTTAGAAAGTGTTCGTCATGTTCAAGTTCCATAATTCCAACTACTTTAGTGGGTAGCCAGCTAAATGCGTTTTTCATTAATTACAAATACCATAAATAAAATTATTTAATTATACGCGTCCACATTTAATACATAAGTGTTAAAGTTAGACATGCAACTCAAAGTATTTAGACATTGTCGTCATGAATAAATTCGACTTTTGAGGTCAGCAAAACAACTTGGGCTGCAAGGCTTTATGTGATTTTTTGTTTTTTTTTTATATTTGTTAGGCTCAGCTGCAGTAGTAACCTATATAGATTTCGGGATCCTGATTATTCAAGTAAATTTTGATTTATTGGAAAAATAATTATTGTATAGATTCGTAATGAATGTTTTGCAAGGCCACAAGGAGAAGATATGTTTTAAATATTATTTCATGAATCAATAATATACACGAGTACACGAATCTTATTGAAATTTTTGAACATATTCGAAAGAAGTGATGTTAACTTTGTCCTAAAGAACGACAGACTAATTTCCGTCTTTTCATTTAGCACTCTTTCAGTATTTTTATGATATAAGACCGTAGTCCAGAACGAACGTTTTTCGTAAATTACTTACTGCCAATACTTAAAAGCATTCGAAAGTGCTACTAATGCTCAAAAATACTCGCATCTAAAACCATGTGTATATTCGGATATGAACATTAGTTTGACTTATTATTATGTCTTTCTTTAATAAACTCGTCATTTTAATGAGACTAATGAAAAATTACCTTTTTTTTTAAAAAAAATCAGCATAATGGACTTTATCATTAAACGGGAAACAAATGCATGAATAATAAAAAATTTTACAGTAACGGAGAGGAAAAAAAAAATCAAAACTATAATTGGAAGTTGAGATAAATTCTAGTCAAAAAGAAATTGTTCAAATAGTTATATAACCATTTTGTGCTCGAATTTGAAATTATCAAGAATTTTATTAATATTAACCCAAATTTCAATATTTTAAAAAAATTACGAGATAATGAATTAATACTAAATCGAAATGTCAAAAATTATTTAATTGTTTAAAAATTTGTTTATATCAAGAGAATAAAGATTACTACAGAATCAAAGATATGGACTAAACCATCAACTACGACATCAACATCATTCGTTATCGTCATTGTCGTCAAAATAAATAATTTTGTTTTAAATAATGGTATTAATGATGTTTCATCAGGACTCGTTCTTTTATCTTTATCTACTTGAAACAATTTAAGAACGAAATCCGCAGCAAGTTCAATTTCTTAAATATTCCTTCTAATTAATTTAAACATAGCCAAATTTGAGACACCTTTAATTATCTCGCTATAAAGCTCAACGGCATCAATTGGTTTAAAATTCCATGGGATATTATTTTGACGGCATATAATGATTTACCATTCCAAATGACCAGATATAAATAGATTCATAATATTCATAATATTGTGTGCAGTATTACTATCACCAAGATTCTATTTCTGAATACCTTGGGCAAGTTCAGGCACAAGGTGTGGATCTTTAAACTACTTGTACTACATGACAAATATGTATAAATAAGATCTGCAGAGGAATTTCCATTCCTGGTAATATCACTGACTGCAATAACAAATCCGTATTGTTCGCAACAACAAACAATGTCTTCAATAATACAATTTGTTGAAAACAATGGCCGATACAACACAAATCATAGCCAAAGCAATACATACATAGCAAATACAAAAGAAACCAGAGCAAATACGGCACGAGCCATAGCCAATGCAACACAAGCCATGGTCAACACAGTCCAAGGAATTGCGCTATAGCCATTACTATACTATACCTTTTGTTCTTTTACAAATAATTCTAGCAGATTCAATCCATATACTATCAATATCGTCATCACATAATAAGTCTTCAATTACTTCTTCAGCCACAACATCTATCATCACCATTACCACCAACAAATAACAACAGATGCAATATCAACATACAAAAATAATACAACTGATAATAATTACATTATTGACGCCATCCTAGTTAACCTAAACATAGCTGTTTGGCTTGTAAGTACTACGATCATATTTGCCAAAAGTAAGAATTTTAATAATTATCGACTATATATAAGAGTTAACAATATTAAACATTTTTTAAAATTTCAGCAAATATTGAGCGTGGAACCATGTATAAAAATTAAAGAGGAATTCCTTTATTTGCATTCTTATTCCTCAATGATTATGATATTGATGGTTATCAAGAGTGATGAATAATACTTTTCTCTCTTCCTTGAACAATTTGTTCAATTGTAATTTTTTCTTGATCCAGCACAATCGAAACGGGTTTTTTAAAAACAATATTTCCCTTTATTTTTTTATATTCTTTTATTGTTTCGTTTTTTTTGTATTCTTTATTTCTTTTTATTATGTTCGTTCAAAAATTTTTTTTTCATTTTTTTTATAAATGAAGTTATTATCAATAAAATTTAAATCATCAAATAATTGATTGATTTAATACTCTTGGAATTAAATATAATATATCCATCTATTTATTCCCTGAAAGTTTTTAAAAATTCTACAGGGGTAGTTGAGCGTATTATTGCATAAATTGTTCCATGGCCTTTCTACGACATTAATTTATCCATTTCAATAATTTCTCGTTGTTAATTTGCAAATTTATAATTTCTTTATACCCTGAAATATATTAAAGATTTATCACCAACCGTTTAATGCGGTTTTGCGAAGAAAAGAAATAGATATTAGATACATACTAAAGGATACAGCGAGAGAATTATACGTTGAGGTGCGGAGTTGTGGACCTCATTATGCGAAAAGAAAGATAAAACAACAACTTCTAAATCACACGCACACTACTAATGAATTTATTCTATGATGCTGATAAATATAAAGTATTTTGTCAAAAGTAAGTAGTAGCAATTCATCATAACAATGGTATATCAATGTTGTGTTTATTTATTAATCTATTAAATTTTTCGTCTTTACAGATCATTACAAGCAAACAAATAACGTCATAATTTTTTGAAAAGTATCGATGAAAAAGTTTGAAAGCATTGATACCAATGTTAAATCGAATATCAAAGGAAAAATCTTGAAATCGTCATAATCAAGCAAAAGAAATGCCTGATAGAATGAAATTGTATGCATGCCTTCGCGACATGATCTGTAATATATACAATTGCATTTTCTCACCCAAAGATTAAATACAAAATACTAGAGTGTTTGGATTGTTAATATCAAAGCTCAATACAAACTAAATTTACCGGCATCACATTTGTATGTGTTTCGAAAACTATGTGCATTGTCTTGCTATCAAATTTTGTTGATGTACATAAATTTTAGACAATTTGGGAAAATATTGAAGTTGGAGTTGATGACGAAGCTGAATCTTTGTCAGTGTCATTTTCTATTTATGATAGTATGCAGCAAAGTGATAACTATAAACAACAAAATAATATAGAATCCGAACTGATTGACTTGTTTGTATTGACGCATCTCCTATTTCTAGACCTCGGAAAAGACAAGAGGTGGAAATATAGAAAAAAGATTTTAATATAAAATTATTTCCTTATTATTTCTTATTTATGGCATGATCTCCATTTTCTTATTAATATTATTTATTACTGATTTCAAAAATGATAAAATTGAATTTAGCAAAATTTTTAAGCAAAACATCGACCAAAAAATCAAATGAATTAAAAGAATTTATCGATGAATTAGATAAATTTAATGAAAGAATTAATAATGATAATAAATTTGTTGGGTTTAATAATTTATCAAATGAAATTCTCAAAACACTAAAAATAATAGAAAAATGCGTTACTTGTAAGGGAAAATTGATCGAGGATGATAGCATTTATCTTTTAATTAATGAATCGATTGTCTTATTCAAAAGTCCTATAAATGGTGATGAAGAGATAGAAGGAATCGTTGTCATTGAAGCATTAAGTAAAAAATTATATAAACTAGACTATAAAATAATTGCAATAGGATTATGTGATGACTGCAAAGAAGAAAATATCACAAAATTAAATGACAAATGCAAAAATGAAGAAATTGCTAGATTTCTTTATGACTGCAAAAAAAATGCATCTAGTATGAATTATATCAAATGGATTCCATTTGATGACTTCAGAAACATCACATTTTTAGCCAACGGTGGATTTGGGATAGTTTATAAAGCAGCTTGGATTGGAAAATCTTTTAAATATGAAGAATTTGGCGTTGTATTAAAAAAATTATACAATTTTGGAAATAAGATTCCAAATATTTTAAAGGAGGTAAAATATTAATTTACTATTATTCTTATTAGTTGATATTAAAATTAATAAATTGACAATTAAAAATCATTTTCAGTTAAAAGTAAACAACGAATTTGGATATTCTGTTATAAAATGTTTTGGGGTTACAAAAGATCCAAAAGAAAATGAGTATTTGTTGGTATTCCAATACGCTACACATGGAGATTTACATGATTATTTATCTAAAAACTTTGAGGAAATTACTTGGAAGGACAAAATTAGATCACTTTTTTATATTTCACAAGGGTTGGTTTAGTTTTATTGCCAGATTCATTATCATTATTAATTTTATAAAACAATTAATTTACATTATTTATAATTAACTTACGTTAGATTAAAACAAATTCATGAAAATAATTACATTCATCGTGATTTACACAGCGGCAATATTTTTTTTTACGATAGAAATTATAATAGAATAGGAGATTTGGGATTATGCCAACAATTAAATGAAAGTGATAATCCTAGCGAGATCTTTGGAATCGTTCCATATGTAGCACCCGAAATATTATCAAATAAGCCATATACAAAAGAATCAGACATTTACAGTTTTGGTATGATAATGTGGGAACACACTTCAGGGAAAAAACCTTTTCATAATAGATCACATGATCATCGCCTTATATTAGATATTTTAAGGGAAGAGAGGCCTAAAGTTACTGAGGACACGCCTGAATTTTTTGCTGAATTGATGAAGAGATGTTGGGATCCTAACCCTGAAAATAGGCCTGATGCTAACGAAATAGTAAAGTTGTTTCTAGAATACAGTCTCAATCCTTCCGAAGAGCAAAAAGAAATTATTAGATTAGCAGAAACTAAACGACAAGAGATCATCACCAAAGGCTTGCCAAACGAAAAAAATCATCCAGAAGCTTTTTATACAAGTCGATCACTAAGTCAACTGACTCAACAAGCTAACTCATCTTTAGCTGGATCGAATTACCGCGACACATCAGCAATGATTTGGCAAATGAGAAACGATTAGATTATTTTATTTATTTCTTTCTTATTTTTAAATAAAGTTTTTGAAAAATACGTAATTTATAATATATAGTATACTTGGATAATTTTTTAGTCTTGAAAAATTTATTGCAATTAGGAATTGTGCTTCATTGCTAAATTCATTAACATTTGAATCTTTGATATTTTCACTGTTGATTCTAATATCTTATCTTCTTTAGAATCCGAGTCAATAATCAAATCTGCTTTGATAATGTTGTTACCCAATGTGTGTTCATCAACATATGCGTTACTCTTTTAAAAGAATAAAAATAATAATTTCAATTAATAATCACGACAATACAAAAATTTGACTTTTAAAAAAAATATCTCTGTTAAAACCGATCCAAATCGTTGTTGACTGAATCAATAAATCTTGATACAACTTCATGCATTGCGATCAAATAAGGATTAATTAGAGTAAAAAACATATTTCCAAAACTCTAATAAACAATTAGTATGTACCTTTGCCGAAACTAATAAACAATTAGTGTGTAACGTGCAGAGGTTACAAATTACTAAAATTATTTTAGCCGTGGTACATAAAAAATTTGGGGGAAACTTTTCTTTCAATTAG